CATGTATTTTATTTGTTCTTTTTTTTTTTATAATCGATTCTTGCCATCAAGAATCGATGCAGTAGATCACAAAAATTAGAATCGCGATGCATCGTCATGACGATTATTTTTCACACCCTTAACTGCAATGCAAATATTCCCAGTAGTTTGCCTGTGTGGATGACCAGGCTGTTGTAATCCACTGTCTCTAAAGGGAATTTAATGAAAAATAATTTATCAACAGATTGTTTTATGAGGTTTAAGTGAGGATTATTAGTTTAAGCTGGAAGAAAAACCCAAAAGTAATTGCTGTAACTGCACCATCAATAACTGCAAGGATGCAATAGTTAATAAGATTCTAATAAAGTTAAAAAAAACTATTTGCTGGCCTTTGTTTCCAAGTTTGAAGACGTTTCGCTTCCCATCCAGGGAATTCAAAATGTCAGGAATAGCGTAGAGTTTGAAGCTTTATAGAGTAACCCAAAACAAAGCCTTGTTCTGGCTTAGAAAACATGCAAATCGGACCAGAAGAACAGGTCCACCCCTTAGGAATGAGGAGTCCCTTGGGTTCTTTATTAGCCTGCAAAACCCAATACTGGTCTATGCCTCTGAAAGGGGTCATTAGAGGCATTGTTAGTAGGATATTCCACACTAAGTACCCACGCAGGAAAATCCTGTATTCCAAACAGCTTTGCTGCCCTTGATGGAAACACTTGAGGCCAGGAAGATTGTTGCGGGTTACTGTGGTGAAAAGAGAGATAAGAGTTGGAAAATATATCAATCAATGGTAAAGCAATGAACTGTTATCCTGATAGTTTGCAGCCCTGGTGAGAGGGCGACCTTACTTTACACTAGAGATACGGGATTAAACTGGATGTAAGCAACATTCTCTTTTTTTCCTCTCTGTTTTTGTTTCTGCAGGTTTTCTGGGCTCTCTGAGGATCCTGACCTCCCTGTGTGCCTCCGGGATCTTAAAGAAGAGGCAGAGCTAATCCTGTCCCTGTAGAGGTGACTTAGAAAGGGTCAACAGCTGGCATAAAGTGGACACTACTCTCAGATTAGATTCACCTGAAGCTCAGCGGCCAATCGGCAGCCTCGCCTCTGAGCGAGCGTGGCCACCACACACAGCTGGAGAAAACAATTAAATTAGTGCACTGAACAAAGCTTAGCACACATAAAGCACAAACACGCTGTGCTGCTGTCGGCTAAAGGACAGATGCTGCCCCCTCCCTGCCGCTCATCATCCTCTCAAATCCAGCTGGAGGGAAGATGAGATTTGGGCCGTTTGTTTGTAACTGAAGAATCAGACCCGTCCATCTGATACACGCCTGTAGTCAGCATGATTGATTCTTATCTCTGTGCTCTTTAGCCCCGCCCTCCACCCCCATGGAGACACACATGAAGTAAAAAGACTTTGCAGAAAAGAATCTGAAGTTGGGAAGCGATTGGAAGTAAAGGATAGCCCCGTAGATGGTCTCAGCGCAGAGGAGGGGTGGATGTAGACAGCATGGACTGAAGGGGGGGTCAAAAACCAAACGAGGAGACGCTGAAGGAAGAGGAAGGACCTCCTCCCCTCTGCTGCGCCTCCCTCTCTCCTCTGCTCTAACAGCTTTCCTTGGCTTCAGTGCTTCAGTGCAGAGAGGAGACGGCAGCAAAGCGAGGAGCCGATGAAACCAGGACAGAGCCTCTGCATTCTCACGCTGCTTCTAATCCTGAATCGGACCCAGGAAGGGGGGGAGTTTTAAAGTGAAATAAAGCGCAGAGGAGAGCATATGGAAGGACTTTGGATGCAGTCGGGTTTCAGCTGCGTGTGATTCAGCGAGGCGGGGGTGGGAAGGAGCATCTCTCCATCCATCTTCGGCCCCCGTCTGCTCCTCTCCGTCTCCAAACGTCCTCAGCCGTCGGACCGGGTACGGTGGCAGGCCCAGGGGTGGGGGCATGGCCGTGGGGGGGCCGCATCCCGTCCTCCACGCTCCACCGCGACAGAGGCTTTGGCTGGAGGTCCTGGATCTGGGGGCCCCCCAGAGCAGCCCCCAGACTCTCAGACGTCCGCCCCTGGATGAGCGGAGGGGTGGCGGGGGGAGGTATAGTTGGGGGGGGCGCAGGGGACAGAGGGGGAAAAGTGAGATGTTCCCGCAGACTTTGGCTTCTCCTGGGAACGCTGGCCCTCGTCTTCCTCACCTCGCTCTTCTTGTCCGTGTCGTTGCGTGGGGGCGTCGGCTTTAACTACCTGGAGGCGCCCGGGTGGGAGGAGTCCAGGCGGGTGAAGCTGGTGCCCAGCTACGTGGGTGCCCACCGGCTGCACCCCCCAGAAGCGCCCCTGCAGAGAACATGTGCCTGCCCTCGCTGCGTCGGAGACCCCGGAGTCTCTGACTGGTTCGATGACAACTATGACCCGGATATTTCTCCAGTCTGGACCAGAGACAACATCCAGCTGCCCCCAGATGTCTACTACTGGTGGGTGGTGAGTAACTGCAGCTTTTCTTTATGCAGAAGTTTCATCTGAAAGCCCAGTAGGAAAGTTCAACCTAATAATAAAGAAGAATGTGTGACTTAGAGCTTCTCTGAGTAATTGAAGTTTTCTTCTGACTAGGGATTTTCCTCCAGAGAATTTATTGCCATATTGATGATAACTGTAAAATTGTCTCTACTTTGTAAATCGCTTTGGGTAAAAGCGTCTGCTAAATGCATAAACAGTAAAAGTTTTCATGCTGGGAATAATGAATTCTGCAGAAGCTTGATCCTCCTCACTAACCGGCTCTGTCCCTGAGATATCCGTCCCTTTTATTAGGGATGTAACAACAGTGTCAATAACAACAACAACAAAAAAGATTGGATCCAATTTTTAGGACAGTAAA